TTGGGTTTGAAGGGGGCATTAGGGTAATGGTTTGATTTTTAGGATTTGATAAGGTTAGGAAGGCCACTGATGAGGTCAGAGATCAATTTTTGTAGACCCCTCTCCCATGATGGATTTGGTGGTCACAGTGGTTCCTAGGGTCTACAAGCAAGTTCCTAGGGTTTCAGATTAATTTGAGGGACCTAGGGAAAACATACCACTCCCTAGGGTTATAAATTGATCTAGGCGATCTAGGGCATGTCTAGTCCCTGGTATTCAACTTGGGTTCACCTAATGCATGTCTAGTTCCTGATGGTTAATTTTAGGTTCTCACCTGGTAAAAACCCTAAGGCCACTCAACCAAGGTTTGGGGGCTTGAGCTTGCACTAGTGAGGACCAAGAAGATATGACCCTATTTTAGGATTATGTATAGGTGAGTGGAATGAGTCCTCACAAAAGTGAGGTAAACTCTTGTTCACCCCTTTGGATGGATGTGAATCCATATGGTTTTCCTTATAATGTGCTCAGCTGAACCTGAAATCCCTAGCAAATCCCAAATATTGTAGTTTACAAACTTTTTACTCCAAATATTTAAAGCACTTAAATCAAAACCTTAAAATTGAAATTACAACACAAATTTTAATTCTTGGGATGTAATTGATGACTTAGGTCAACACCAATATGTGTGGTGTACCTTAGATAGTCTGCCACACATATTGGGGGTAAATTTTTTGACCCAACTTTTGATCAACCATTTATTCAAACTTAAAACCGACCTAAATTTGACTCAATGCATGTCCTCAATTGCACACACGCACACACACACACCCATCCACGTGCATGCCCATGCTTGCGTAATCGCATGCAACCAGCCGTTGGACTGGTGTGGTTACGTACAGTCTAGGCATGGCCATACCTAGAAGTTATTATGTATGGTCACACTCGATTAGGGTGTCGCCATGTCTGGATGTTCCTAAACATGTTCACACCTGATGCTGTTTTGGCCGTGCCCCTAAGCCACGCCAATGATACATGGCTTTCAGCCTCAGATATGATAGTGAATTGACCTGTTGGTTCATTGACAACAATCCGTGGGAGCTCCAATTGTTGGAATGATCTTGACTGTCAATCTACCACCCTAATCAACGATCATAAAGGCCTCTATCATTGCCTCTCTGGCCCTCTCAATAGTGCATTTAAAATGATTTGAAACACTGAATTTGGCCTTCTATGCAGAGAAGTGCACACAGGAAGAATATGTGTTTGAGTCTTCTCCTCCTCCAACAACCACCGCAACTTGCCTTCTGCTCGGTAAGCCTTCTCTACCTCTCTTTTATATTGTCTAGTTCTTTTAAGTTAGATTAATTTTTAGTTAACCTAAGTCAATAACATTTGATTAGGCTTCGGTTTGGATCTAGCCCTGTCAACCCAAACCCAACCTAACCCTAATGCTAACCGTAGTTGACTTAAACTTAGCCTAACACAAACATTAACCTAACCTGACCTTAACCTAATATGACCTGACATGAATCTAATCTATCCTGACTCAAACCTAGCCCTACCTACTCAAAACTAATCCAAACCGATCTGAACAAAATTTGATCTTACCGAAACTTTAATCTCACATAATTTCTGACAAAATAGGAATCAGTTTGATCTTCGTAACACCAGACCAGGGGATGTTGGGGTTCTCCTACCACCTGACAGAGTCGTATACAAACAACGAAGTAGAATATGAAACCTTGATAATTAGATTAGAATTAGTGATATTGATGGATATAACCGACATTGAAATATACGATGACTTGTAGCTCATCATTCAACAAGTGGCAGGACAACACAAGATTTTGAAGCTCAGATTGAAGCGGTACCATCGTTACACCATGAAGTTGTTGGAGCAAATCCTCAATGTGACAATGTATCAAATAACGAGAAGGGATAACGCTCATGCAGACGCTTTAGCCAAGCTCTCTAAGAAGTTATCATGTCCACTAGAAGATTCAATTGACATCACAATAAGAGGACGCCAAGTTCTAAATCAGATCAACATGGACACCTTACATAAATTGAGAAAGGAAGAGACAGTAGCTGCGGTGCCCGAAGGTACAGAGGACTGACACTGACCGTTTGTTAAGTACTTATAGAAAATACAAACGATGTATGTCACGAGCTATGCCGTCCTCCAGGGATATTATCCATCCTCGATCACTCTCGACGATGGAATCTGCCAGCCTGCCTACCCACCAAAAGAAGTCACAATTCTCCATGATTCTTCTAAGGCACCTATAAAACTGTTCATAGTTATGTGGCTGACGTGAGAACTCTGAAGTCCACAATGGTAAAACAATCCTTAGGAAGTCTCAGAAATCTTCGAGCTCATCCTTCCTGAATGCTTTAAAAGACAATCTATTAGTCATAATAAAAGTTGAAATTGATAAAAAAGTAATTAATTACAGTTTTGTGCAAACGTGAAATATCAAAGAAATCAGTATACTAACCAACAAATCTGTCACTATAAGAAATATCAGACCTTATAAAAAAGGTTCTCGATTTTCATTAACACACGTAATTCCAAGCTCGTGTGTATCACATATGTATATCAACAAAAAAGGTTATCCCAAAAACCTCAAAAATCGTAGCATCGAAAAGAAGATAGGAACTTGATTGCCTTCATTAGGATTTCACATGTGACACCAACTAATAGCAACTAATAGGCCATCCAGAAAAGCACATAAGGTCAAATGACTCATCAATAGTCGAGCCGACCATGTTCATACAATTTAGAAAGAGAAAGTAATGTAAAGAAAGTCTTTCATGAATATGTTCTTACCTCTAATTTCTCAACCCACCATTCCCCCAAAGCATCAATAATCCATTTGATTGGATCCTCGTTTTAATTCATTCCATAGTTTCAAGTCATTTTTCAAGTGATCCCACTTGTTTTTCAGTTGCATCCTATCATACTCCCTTCCCATTGTTTACTTGAACCTCTTCATAATATTTTGTCACGATTCCTTGTAAAAATGGCTGGTGGGCCTATTTCTCAGTTCAATCTCCTTAAGACAAAGGTCGCAAAATATGATTTTGGCTTCTTTTTCTCACATAGCTGATGAATCGACTTCTTTTGTTTTAAACATTGCATTACAAATATAGAAAAAGTTAAACATAAATATTTGGCAAAAGAAGTAATTAACAAAAATCACAACCACACTCCACAAATCCACAACCACACTCCAGAACTCCACACCAACACAACCACACAACAATACTTGCACATCTCCACACCCTACACATAATTAGAAAACCACACAATCAATGGCTCCACAACTCCACATAGCACACAACCACACCCCACAACTCTCACCACACACGACCACACACAACCACACCCCAAAGCTTCACACCGCACATCTCCATAACTCCACACACCACACTGCACAACTCCACACCAACACAACCACACAACCTCGACACATTACACAACCACACACAATCACACCAATACTTACACACTTGCACACCCCACACACAACCACATAAATACACAACCAACAACTTTACAACTCAACACAATAATCACACACAACCACACTCCACAACTCCACACCACAAAACTCCAAAACTCCACACCACACACCAAAACTCCACATCACTCCACACACACAACTCCATAACCACACAACCTCCACACAACACACAACCACATCAACACTTGCACACTTCTACACCCCACACACAACCACACTAAAATAGAAACAACAACTCCACAAAACACACAACCACACACAACCATATTCCACAACTCCATAACTCCACAAATCTACACCACACTAGAAACCAACCAACAACAGTATTTGGCCAACCCACCACCATGAATCTTCTTCATTATCACAGTAACCACCACAACAATCCACCACTACCACCAAAATTCGACCAACCCACTAGTAATCATCACAGTAACATCCAAATCACAACACCAATATTGTTCTTAATAAAATCGCATAAACTAGCACACAACACAAGCGATCCTCTCACAAAATTCACAAAACAAGCCATCACCACATCACCCAACAAGGAAAATTGCAAAAAGAAGACCAGAGTCAAACAACCACCAAAATCCTGCACTACCTTCCCAACCGGCTGAATCAATATCACGGTAACCAACAACAACACATTACAAGTAATGCCATTACCAAATCCATAGAAAAAGCCATCACCCCATTAAAAATAAAGAAAATCCAACACCAATTCAAAATCACTGGAATTGCAAAAACCAAAATTGCAGAAATAACAAAATCTAATAGCAGCGCACAACCATCCGAAAATCATCAACCAAATTGAGCTCAAAGAAGCTAAAACTATCAAAAAATCAAAATGTCAGAATAGATAATGGTAGAGAATACCGTGGGTCAAGAGAGAAGAAATGAACTAAGCAGAATCGAAGAATAAAAGAGATAGGGAGAGCAAAGTAACCACCAAGTCAGACAATTGCTAATTGAGCCACATATCAGAGAGAAAATGCGAGATCTTACCTTAAAGGCAGAATTACGAGAGAGGGGAAAACCAAAATAAAGAGAAAAGCTCCATCACAAGAGAGCGGAAGAAGGGGTAAGATAATAATAATAAAGAAAAGAAACACAGGCCGCGAAGCCAGCCAAGGCTATATTTTATCAAAACTTTAGCCGCCAATATTTTGGGTCTGTTTAGAGTAGTTTGTGCGTTTTAGGATGGGTCTGTTTAGAGTAGTTTGTGCGTTTTATGATAAATAATTTATTATAAAATATGACCAACGGTCCACTATAGAGTCAACCCGCAATCTGTTTTTTACTATATTTTATCAAAACTTTAGCAGCCAATATTTTGGATAATATTTTGGATCTGTTTAGAGTAGTTTATACGTTTTAGGATAAATAATTTATTATAAAATATGACCCGCGGTCCACTATAGAGTCAACCCGCAATCTGTTTTTTTTTAAATTTTTCTTTTACTTACAAACCAAAGTATTAGTCGCGCAGACTCGCCCTATTTTTCAAAAACGCCACCGGCCCTTTTATCAAGACATCAGCAAACCTCCGCCGCGACCGCGTTTTGGGCGAGCCGGACGTAAAAGGCGCCAAACGCGCCCATAGTCGCTAATTGGCTCCCGAGGGTGAGGGTTTGGTGCGGAGCCGTAGGTAACTTCAATCACTTCAGCAGCCGAAATTGGTGTGATGGAGCCGGAGGTTGGCTTGTTAAGAGGCATTGGAGGAGCCAGCTTTCCGGAGAGCTGCTCGGAAGAGACCTCGGTCGACGGAGGCGATGAAGAAGGTGATTATTTGGAGAACAATGGGACGGGACCGCTATCAATTTCAACTAGCGCTACTGGACGTGTGTGTGAAACAAATCGGAGGATTTACTCGCGGAGCGAGATGGAAGACTTAAGGTTTCTAGACATCGATGCACAGCGGCGGATGTGGAATGCAGTCTACGCTGGTATGGAATCTGACGTTGCCCGCGAGTACAGTAAGCTTTGGGTGCCAGATGATCAAAAGAAAGGGAACCATGAAAATTTAGTATGGGACAAGTTAGTGAGAAAGAAGGATGATTTTGGAGCAGTGGGTATGGTCATGATTTGTTCAAATTTATTCGTTTTAAAAAGAGCTGTGAGGTCTTTAGTTCTTCTATGCTTTACTTGCTTGATGTCTGTCTAGTGAGTGTGTTTTTCGGTTGTTTTCTATTTTAATCGAGTAGTGAGTCTCTTTCAATTATAGGTTTTATAGTAATGCGGTGATAAATTCTTCAAGATGGAAAGAAAAGAGCTTGTATCTTTTTGGGTTACCTTGTCCTTATGGATGAAGAATTCCTTACCTTCTTTCATGTTCACAGCAGTTTCATGACAAAATATGTTTAGTAACAATTCTTTTCACCGCCCCTTTCATTTTTGTATTAGCGAAGGCAGTCCATACTTCTGATTCACTGTAGGCATGAATTTACGATTGACGTTATTACATGTATCAGTTTGAGACGTTCAATTACTAGGTAGCCTTCCACTTCATTCCTTATTCATATAATTTTACTTGTAGAAGTCCATCTTTCCTGTATGCAGAAAATTCTAAGGAATGCTACGGATGATGAGGTAGGCATCTGGTATGTCAACTATGTGGGAAGTTTTCTATTGAAGTCATGCTTGTATCCACAAAGGTTATTCTAGAAATGAAGTTTCAAAGGTAATTATATGAAATACTTTCTTTGGAAGATGAAATGGTTATAAGTTTCTCTAGTGTAGTGGCAATCGTTTGGCTGCGTCAATGAGCCAAATTGCTCTTGTTTGTAGAGAAAATATGTAAGTGTTAGTAAATAAAGGTCAAGAAACTATATCTCTTATTCCCTTGTATCTAAATTACAACTTTTCCGCTTATTATATAGGGAATGTCTAGGGCAAAAACAATTTAGACTATTACAACTTATCAAATACAAAACAAACAATAAACATAATAAGAAACAAAATAAAAAGGAATAAAATTGAAATTGAAAACTCCCTCCAATAGCTTCCACAAATTGATCATGTGAGGCCAATATGGCCACCTCTTTGGGCCACCTAAGGGGGACAAAATTTCACACTCCCACTCAAGCTGCGTCATAAATGTTGTAAAGACCCAACTTGATATTCAAATCATTAAAACTACTTGGAGGTAGGGATTTAATGAAAACATCCGCGACTTAACGATGAGACTGAAAGTAGATTAAGTGAATAATGTCACCATTGCCTTTTCAGAGATAAATTGTTCATCAATCTCAATTCATTTGGTCCTGTCATGCTGTACAGGGTTCTTTGCAATACTAACGACAGCTTGACTATCACAGAATATTTTTATGAGATTGATTGCGGAGCATCACAACTCATTTAGTAACCTTTGGATCCATATTCATTCACAAATTCCTAAAGCAAGTGCCCGATACTCAGATTCTGTACTATTTTTAAAGAGCACTGCTTGCTTCTTTCTCTTCAACATGACAAGATTTTCCTATACATAGGCTTCTGCCAATGAATTTTTTTGCCCAACTAGCATCAATATAAACTTATACCTCCCCATTGTTTGATTTTTAAAAAAAAACTCTCTAAAAGGGGTTCTCTTAAGAAATCTCATTTTTCTATAAAACATCCCTAAATATTTTTCATTTGGACTGTTCATATGTTGACTAACAATGCAGACAGAGTAAGCAATATCAGGTCTGGTGTGTGACATAAAGATAAGTTTACTCATCAATCTCTGGTAGCTACTTTTTTTCACTGATGTTTTCTCTCATTGAATATAATTTTTTGTTGAAATTCATAAGAGACACAGCAGGTTTATACTCCAACATTTCTATTTTTTTTAGTAGGTCTAGGATGTACTTTTGGGATATCACAATACTCATCTTGGACTTGACTATTTCCATGCACAGTAAGTATTTCATAGCTCCTAGATCCTTGATTTCAAATTCAATCACAAAAATCTCCTTCATCTTCCCAATTTCTTTTTCATCTTCACTTATTAGGATCATATCATCTATATAGATAATGAGTATAACTTTCTCACATTTTTGTGTATGCTTTATGAACAGTGCATGATCGACTTGGCATTAAATGTACCCATTAGATTTCATAATCTTAGCAAACTTGTAAAACTAAGTCTATCAAGATTGTTTGAGGCCATAACGTGATTTTCTTAGTTTATAAACCAGATATTTATTTGACCTATTTTCTAGCCCTGGTGGGATTTCCATATACACTTCTTCCTCAAGGTTTCCAATGATGCAACTCCCATTGTTTTTTCATTGTCAAGGAAAGAACTCTTATATTGTTTAGCTTAATTATTGGTGCAAAGGTTCCTTGATAGTTTATATCGTATAATTGAGTGAAACCTTTAGCCACTAACCTAGCCTTGAACCTCTTAATGCTACCATCTGCTTTGTACTTGACATTGAACACACATTTGCACCCAGCAAGTCTTTTATTTATAAAGGTCCATTTTTTATTTAGATCAAGTGCTTCGATCTCGTGTTCAACTATTTTTATTCATTATGGAATTTAATTGATTCATGAATAGACTTGAGAATCTGCATGCAATCAAGATTAGTTACGAAAACTTTATAAGGTGTTAATAGCTTCCCATAGGCAACATACTCTTGGATAGGATAATTTGTGCAACTTTTGCTGTCTTCTCCACTGGATTTCACCTCTTGGAACTTCAGAAATCTGTGAATTCAAGTTTGGTTGTAACTAATCATATGTTTGCATATTGTATTTATCCTGCTCAGTGGATTTTTTTCGCTTAATGTTTGTGCATTTCCTTGTTCTTAATCTCATGTTAGATATTTTGCAATGATGGAACTGGGGAGATAGGATTGTTGGAAGGAAGTTGAATAGGTTGTGATGACTCTAGGTCTATAGGTATCCAGAGTAGTGCCTAAGCCTTTTTTGGTATACCCCTACTTTTCTTAACATAAGTTGAATCTAAAACATCTACTCTCTTAACCGGATCATTAGATGGTCTACGTTAAGGGCCCGTTTGGGGCAACTTATTTGGTGCGGTGGCATTTTAAAAACGCACCTGAGCTGTTTGGATAAACTGCGTTTTGACAGCTTATGTGTTTTAAAAACGTTAAAAAAAACATTTTCACACCGCACCTTACACCGCACCTATCTAGGTGCGGTGGCTGCTTTCTGACAGCCACACCGCACCTATCTATGTGCGGTGGCTGCTTTCTGACAGCAGTTTGACTTTCCTAAAAAAAATAAAAATTTGTAATAGCCAACGCACCTAACTTATCAACATATGATTCTTAATCAGCTCGTTTGACTTTCCTAAAAAAATAAAATTTTTAATAGCCACTGCACCTAACTTATCAACATATGATTCTTAATCAGCTTATTGGCTGTTTATTCAATAAGCTGCAGCTGCCCTAAACAGACCCTTAATGTGATCAAACCATCTAAGACGACTCTCTCTAATTTTGTCCGCTATGCTATCACGAATATATTAATTTAGCATTTTGTCTCTAAGTTTCGAGCCACTCATCATCCACCTATGCATTCTCATCTCATCAACACTTAACTTTTTTTTATGCCTCTATTTTAAAGGCCAACATTCTACGCCATAGAGTATTGCAGATCTCACCACCATCTTATAATTTTTTTTTTAGTTTAAGCGGTATTTTTTATCACACAATAGGCCCAATGCATTCCTCCGCTTCAACCAACCAACTTGAATTATACTAATTACATGCCTATCTCTATCACATCACTTTGAACAATAGACCTGAGATATCTAAAATGTTGACACCTTTTAATGATTTGATCACCCATAATTACAACTCCAGTTTTAGAGCTACTATTATTAAAATTACAATTCATGTATTCAATTTTAAATCTACTCACACGAAGGCCATTAGACTCCAATGTAGACCTCCATAATTCAAGTTTTTCCTAAACTCATTCTATAGTCTTTTCCATTAGAAGGATTTCATCAGCGGAGAGCATACACCAAGGCACATCCGCCTGTAAATGTCCAGTAAGAGCATTCATAACTAAAACAAAAAGATATGGGCTTAAAGCCAATCTGATGCAATCCAACTAATATAGAAAAATATTTGGTCAATCTTTCTGTTCGAATACAAGTAAGAGCTATATTATACATATCTTTAATGACTTGAATATAAGTCATATCAACCCATTTCTTCTCTAGAACTCTCCAAAAGACTGCACTTGGAACCTTATCGTAAGCTTTTTTTAAGTCAATAAAAATCATATGTAGATCCTCCTTACTCTTTCTTTACTTATCGATCAAACCTCTCAATAAATGTATAGCGTCCATAGTAAACTTGCCTGATATAAATTCAAACTGGTTATAAGAAATTTTTGTATCTCGTCTTAACTTATGTTCAATTACCGTTTCCTATAATTTTAAAGTAGGACACATCAACTTAATTCTGCTATAGCTTGCACTTTTGTGTATCTTCTTTATTGTTAAAATTGGGGACCAAAATACTCTTCCTCTACTCCTCAGACATCTTTTTAGTTTTTAAAATAACATTAAAGAGTTTAGTAAGCCAATAAACTCCCAAGTCTCCTAAATATTTCCACACTTTAATTGGGATATCATCATGTCCTACTGATTTTCAACCATTTTTTTCTTTAACACCCTTTCTACTTCTTTTTTACTAATGCGACGGTAAAAATAAAATATTTTATTATTATTAACGATATTAAGATTACTAAGATCAAATGTATTTTCAAAATTTCATTGCAAAATTTATCAAAATAGCTCACCCACTTATGTTGAATATCTTCATCTATAAAAAACACTTTTTGATTTTCATCTTTAATACATTTTACTTGAATTAATTCTTCTTTACATTTTACTTGAATTAATTCTTTACTTTTCTTTTCTCTTTGTTTGCCTAGTTTATACATATATTTTTCGACATCTTTAGTATTTAATCTGTTATAAAGATCAAGTAGAATTCTTAGTGTCACAAATTATTTTCTTAAACTCCCTACGGGCCACCTTATATTTTTTTATTTCTCTATGTTTTTACATTTAAATCAGTTTTTATAACTCTTCTTATATTTTATCTTTTCTTGCACATTATTATTCCACCATTAATTATCTTTGAGTGTTAGTCCAGAGAGAAGAGCCAAAATGCCTCAAATATATTCTATGATTTCACTATTTATAGAAGATAGATTGACAAATGTGTAAAATTAATGCTTGCCCTTACTTTAATAGGGGCGTTAAAGATTATTATTATCTTTTTTCCCGACTGGACCATCTGCTTGGCAAGTCCTTGGGTTGGCCGACTGAGCTACTTTTGATCGGCTTTTGACCTGGAAACTGGTTGGCTTGCGCTTTGGGAAATAGGTTGGCTTTGATTGTGGCACCCAATCAACTTTAGGGTGGCCAGTCAGCTAGCCTGGTTGTTGTTCCTTGGTGATCTTTGAGGGAGCTGTTGAGGGAGTCTCACGTTTATATTTGTGGGATTGTTTGGGTAGTTAGACCTTTGTTCGGCCGTTGGCGCGGATGCCTATCTCCTATTGGTTTTGTAGCTCTTCATTCGTCAGATTATCTCGAGATTTGTGCAGATCATTTTTTATATTTGTGGGATTGTTTGGGTAGTTAGCCCTTTGTTCGGCTGTTGGCGCGAATGCCTATCTCTTATTGGTTTTGTAGCTTTTCATCCGTCAGATTATCTCGAGATTTGTGCAGATCATTTTTGAGTGTACATGTTAAATTCCTAAATTTTATTGCTTCTTGATAGCGACATCTGTGATAAGGACAATGAATATGAACTCTTCTTTGTCGCCCTATCTATAATACATGATAAACATATTAGCTTGATGACCTTTAGACCTCAACATGTGCTCAATTGTTGCCCTACCGGTACATGTTGTCTTGATAATATCATTGCCAATCTGTCCATATACATGATCTTTTTTAAGTTCATTCATTCTCATTATTGAGCAATTGTTTGCATACTTCATTTAGTTGAACTGGCTAATCATCATCGTGCATTAATGTACAGCCGATAAGTGTGTCTAACTTTTAGAATACAACAATTAATTAAAAGGTTAACATGTTATGAAGGATGTTTTTCCTCAGTGAATTTTTCTCCTCATTTGGTTTTCTTTCATACATGGATATTTACTACTTATAACACTGTCCACTTGCTCTCTAGAAGTCCCTTTTAAAGTTTCTAAGTTCTAAATAATAATTATCATCTTAGTTTTATGCTTAGTCCTTGCCCATTTTTCTTCACAATTAGATTAAATGGTAGTTCATCGATTAACATTCCGATCAACCTTTTCTACTATAATTTACTTAAGTTGTAATGTGCTTTTTATTAGTGGCACATAGCCCAACTCATGCAAAATTCCTATCACAATCAACGTGATATGCTGATTTTTGGAAAACGGTGGTGCAAACCAAAATCAAATTGGTCTCTTAGATTTTGCCATAGTTTGTTTGGTGGTTATCAGCTTAAATAATATCCTTCAATCATTCTAACCTAGCATGGGACTTGTATACTAGTTTTACAATAGAAGAAAATGGCAACTTCACACACACACACACACACACACACACACAAGAAAATGGCAACTTCACACACACACACACACAAACACGTACATACATAGACACAAAAAAACCTTGGCGGAATATTCATTCTGTTTAATGTTTTTGGATGTTAGTCTTTAAGGCGAGCTATATGTAAATTTTTTTTTTTGCTATTCTCTGTAGTATGAAATTTGCTTATCATTGATTGTTCTAGCAAGCAATTCTCTTAAACATATTAACAAGTCTTTTCAGTCATTCTTTGAAACATCTGAATATAAATTTCAGGTGAGGTGTTCTCATTGAATATGATGGAATCGGGCATTTTCTTTTCCTCATATAATGCTTATGGTGAAACATTGGTTGGTAGTGAAAATTACACTATCAATGAAGTATCATTTTGTGACGAAAATAATGTTGTGGAGTTTGAAATTGATGACGTTGATGATGATGACAGTGATGATGAATATGAAAGTATTCAGAGGCCTGCTTTCCTGGTTGAGGGAGAACCTGATTTTGATTCTGGTCCCCCTTTAGATGGCCTTGAGTACCTTAGGCGTGTGCGGTAAAGCTCTTTTCATTGTAACAATTTCTTAATCATACTCTTACTTATTACAATTTAACATTTTTGTTGTTACATTTTAGCTGACTACTACATTCCATCATTCTTATTTAGCTCGTAGTGGTTGGCTTTGGGACTATTTTGTTGCTATTTATTTCTTTTCTGTTTAGGAATTAGATATGTAAATACATGAGATTGTGTGGAATTTATGTAAATTTTCCTAAGAAATAATGTGATTGATTTTTTAGATATATTCGGTTTTTTCAATTGATGAAACTAGTAGGTGATGCAGTGTTCTATTGACTTTCAGAGGGCTTACAGTGGAGAGTGGAATGGTGTTGTGATTTCAACGGAGGATAAATAGAGAGATGTGGCATGGATTGTGGTGGAAACAAGCAGGTTTGGGGTAGGGATCACACCTGCCATGTATCTATTTTCCAAAGTATCTTACGTTAACTGTATCTATTAACATCCTATTCTACAATTAAACGGATTTTCATGAATGCTGTTACAAGATTTTCAGCAGAAGAATGTTTGAGGACGAAATTAAATTCATTCTCAAATAGCTGTGATACACTTTATATGAAATCTGTAACAATTTATATCTAAAAAAAATAATAAGACCACTTTAACCCTAGCGCATAGCCACACTAAGAAAGCTCCACCTAAACTAAACACAATCCTAATAATACACTTAGCTTACCCTTTTATTTCTTACTCCCTTAGCTTTCAACTAGATCATAAAAACTAACCTCCTTGAAAATATTAGTAGTAGTTGCTGAGTCCACTACCCACCAATGACTCCAACTAATCATGGCTAATTAAGCACGATGTCAACTGCATTTCATTTTTGTTAACTTTACATTTTTTGTGCTTAAGCCAGCACTTATATTTGTGGACAAAATCAACTATCAACTTCTGCCCATAACGCTCAGTGGTGGGTCAACCAAACTATAATGGTCTTCCAACAAGCTTTAATGAATTTCCACCACCACAGGGTCTACAGGTTGGGCTGGCCCAATTGGAGCAATGCATTTCAACCTACACCATTATATATGACCCTGTATGGTGGGTTGATTCTGCTATATCAATTATTTCATTTTAAGCTAAAGTACCATAACACTCCATGGTGGACCAAACTAGCTATATAAATCGGTAGGTTGTTAACCCATATGAGAGTGCTTGTCTGCATGAGCTTAAGAGTTCGTTTGGCGCAGCTTAAAACTGCATTTTACGTTTTCAAAAGGCTGAGCCGACGTTTGATTCGCGCGTTCATTAGGCTTTTTTGAAAATGGTGTTTTATATTTATATTAGAGGCGGGCCGCGGGATTGACCCAGCGTCCCGCGTCTTCCCATCTGCGTTCGGTTCAATTCCTCGGGTGCCCCTCTTCTTCGCTCGACGGCAGTTGCCTCTCTTGCCTCTTCCTCGGTTGCTTCTATAGGGAATTATTGGAGAGCGCCCTTTTTCTGCAGTGAGAGGAGACTCTAGTTTCAGCGAAGAGCAAATCATGTACCCTCTTGCCTCTCCCTCGGTTGCTTCTATAGGGAATAATTGGAGAACGCCCTTTTTCTGCAGTGGGAGGAGACTCTAGTTTCAGCGAAGAGCAAATCATGTCGTTGAATCGTCCTCCCTTAAACTTTCCAATGTCGGGTGAAGTTCCCCCTTGAAAATTCCGGACATTGAAGAATCGAAAGAAGGTAACTTCGATGGTTTCTAGGCATTTATAGATTTTCATTGGTGAAAAAAATATTTTTATTCATTTATTTTTTTCTTTCCTATTGTAAAGCGGAATTTTATCCAAATAGATGAGATGGGAAGATCAGTCTGTTGTGCATTTTTTCTGCACGAAGTGATCAATTACTTTTTTGAGATTTCTAGCTATTGGGTGGATTTATATAGACATTTTTGCTTTCATTGGAGTTCTTTATAGAGCAATATCCGTTCATAGAAGGATGGGCTTGATCTAGGCAAAGATTTAATTCTGGGAATTATAATATTCCATTGTTAGATTGTCTGGGCTTGCGTACTTTATTGATGAACCTAATGGATTCATTCGTTTGATTTATTGCTGAGAGAGACGTGAAAGCTCCTAATTTGCTGGTGAAGTTGAACGAAGAGATCGAAGCAGTCATGCGTAGAGAGAAGAACCACCATAAGGAAACGCATGGGAGGGGTGAGGACATTGGGGAGAATACACCAATAGATAATGTTAAAGGACCGAACTTGTTTGAACGCGCAAAGAAAGAGTTTCAGACCTTTGTAGATCTATTGATTCGAAGAAGGATCATGGGCATGAGCATGATGGCGAGAAAGGTAAGGGTTGTTTGGGATCTATTGGTAGAAATTTTGAGTTGTTCTACTCGCCTTCAAATGGAAAAGACATTGATTGTAGAGGTTTTGAATGAATCCTTTATATAATTCTCATCAATGGTGATTTTTCTTAACGTGCTATTTTGAAAAGCTCTGAATTTGCATGTTTTTGGGGGTATTTATGCTTGATTTACTGCTTGGAATGAAAAAAAAGTTTAATTAAACTAATTTGCTTTTCAATTATCTATGATATTCTTTTCAAGTAGAAATATTCTTCCAGCGCGTACAATTACTTATTATGCAAAGTACATTGACTCATTGTTCATCCAAAGGTTGTTTGTGTAATAACTCCTTGGATTTGCCTAACCCACTATATAAATTTTTTATTCCCTTTGTACACCCATAGAGGGAGGTCATAGCTTGTCGACAATGTCATGTATTTTGAGTTTTTAACTTCTTTACTCAATATAAAGAGTACACTCAGGTGATGATTAAGCTTTACCATTTTCAACGAGACACCGTTGAGGCGGATCTATGGTTCCCACTAGGTAGTATTTCCTTAATTTACTTTGAGTTGATATGAGAGTTTATGACTGACTTCACGAGTATGTAAAAGTCGATGAGGAATTCAAATATTTATAAAATATAAGACAAGAGTAGGGCAATTCACTCTGGGACTTCATAGTCCATTCCCAACGTGAAATGTTAGAATGTAAAGATTTGGATCCAACAATAGCCCACCCAAGCCCCATGGAATGAAGATCCTTGAGAAAATCCATTTATATATGCGATTGAACTATAACATTCAAGAATGTTGGACAAGTTGCTTGAACTTGTTAAAAATCAAATTGACACTGAGGGGTATAACCATGTATTTACAACATCATCCTCTTGGCAATATGATTATCTAAGAAACTTGCAATGACTTCTTTAGGATGATGAAAATCAACATTATAATAATTAGGACAAGCTTGTCAAGAAGCTACAATATCAAAGACATCAATATTATTAGCAATGATATTAGAATCACAATTTCATCTCTAAGTAGCAAGATAAAAAAGACAATGGGAGATGGGAGAGGTATCCCTACTATATACCTAATAGGCAAATTCTCTTGAAACTATAACACAATGATTAACTTATAAACTAGGTTCAACTGATATCAAGATAAACCAACTGCATCGGGTTCAAGATGACTCAATAGTTGGGTCGAATCAGGACTCACCCAACTAGGTTTGAGGCAGACTCCACTACCGATAGTGATCGAGGTTCGACAGCATCCCTGGAGGACAGTGTATCTCGTGACATACTGTTTCGATTTCAAAATTAATATTATCTTAATTTTAATTGTAATTTTAATAATTTTTTTATCAATCTTGATACTCACTGTTAAGTGAGTACTATTTCATCTTTTATCTTTACTGTTTTGTATTAGTTTTCTACTTCTACAGTATCAAATATATTTTCAAGATAGTTTTGTTACAAACAACATTACTTAACAAGGGCATAATGATCATTTATCCACAAATAGCTGCAAATAAGCTGTTTTGAAACAGCCTGCCAGTTTATTAGGATAAGCTGCTGATCAGCAACTTATCATGATAAATAAGATAGTTTTGTTACAAGCAACATTACTTAACAGGGGCATAATGATTATTTATCCACAAACAGCTACAAATAAGCTGTTTTGAAACAGCTGTCTGAAACAGCCTGCCAGTTTATCAGGATAAGCTGCTGATCAGCAACTTATCATGATAAACTGCTTATCTGAATAAGCTGGATAAGCTGCAACTACCCAAACAGATTCTAAGTCATAAAGATGCATATGAATGCATCATCACATCATTACAGGAATAATTTCCTTCTCATTCATCTTTCGTATCACATGATATCCATTCTTGTGAGTGCATATGAAAATAACATACTTACCTATGTCATCATGTCATTTTTTTAAAGACAAACACAACTGAAAATATTCAACCTTTAATGTAAGATCAATTATAAAAATTGTCATGCTTATCCCAATGCTATGTAATTTTTGTAGTTATCTCAGAACACTTGATGTTATGTTGATAAGTTAAAATGGGCAGCATGATTCTTATATTCACATGCACTACTCATGAAATCGTATAAAGAAAGATAATATCCTTTGCATGTAAAACCACAAAAAAGTGATAAAAAATCTTCTTTAGACTGTAAGGGTGTTATAAACTAAAGTCGTGTTTTCTACTGATGGTCATCCTGATTTCATGATCTCTATGTTGTGATTCTACTTCATTATTGCATTTATAGTCATTAATCTATCCATCATATACTTATAAAAGAAAAATAAAACACTCATATGAAAGATTAAGAGGCTTCCTGCCTCATGGATTTGGAGGGTTGAGTTGATTCCATATTTTATTTGACTCAAAATTGATTGCAAAAACTAATGCATATCAAGGTGAAATAACATGAGGATGGTGATGAAGAACTTCTTGGTATGATTTAATGAAATCTTCATTCATGATCTTCTCTTGCTATCAATAATCTCACACCACCACATCTCTCCCCCAATTGATCACTATATTTTACTAGGTCTTTCCGTCTATTTCTTGCCTCACCTTTTATTTTCTTTTTCTCTAAGTCTAGCATGTATATGCCACGTAACCTGAGACATCTCCCTTATTTCATCTAATCAATTACTCCATTG